CGTGTGGGAGCGAGGCCAGGCGCGGGCCGTCGCTGTCCCCGTTCCCCGCGGGGTGCGGAGCTGGGCGGGGGCGCGCTGCGTGAGAAGTGCCCCTCGATACCCGTGAGAAACCGGTCGTCATCAGGGGTGGGACTGGGAAACAGTGGGTTCTCTTTCACGTGAACGCCTTCGAAGCCCGCAGCCATTCCCAACACCCCCGCGGTTCCCTTCTTAAGAGGAACTGCAGCGAGGTGCTCTTCGGCCGGAATGAGGCATTGTGGGTTTAGGTGAGGGCAACGGGGTCAAACCAAGAGGAAAGCAGCTCTCTGCCCGGTTCTGGGTGATGCTTTGTCTTGTTGATACAAATCGAAGTGGAAGCCTTCTGCTTGCAGGTCCTTTGAGTTTTGCCTCATCGTGCTTGGAGTTGGGTTTGTTAAGCTTGAGAATCACGTCTGTTGTTAGTAAGGAGCGTAGACTCAGATTCTGGCCATTTACCCTGAAGGCACAACTATGTGCAGTCAAAGCCTGCGTGGGAAAGTAATCGCAGAAAAAAGCCTCTGAATACCAGGAAAACTAACACAAATATATTTACGAGGGTAAATGGAATAAATAAAAAGTTTTTTCAGGCCTGTGATTTTTATTTCTTTTCTTTTTTTTTTTTTTAAATTTTATTTTCCTCCAGGGAATTGCTTTAGGGAACATGGAGCAGTGAGCTCCCTGCAGTTCCTTGAGTTTCTCATCTATCTGATTTTGACATGATCAAACGTTTGGTGGAAGATGTGCGAGCCAGGCTGCGTTCTGGAGTGACTATCAACTCTCTGGGGCAGTGTGTTGAGGAGCTCATCCTCAATAGCATCGATGCCAAAGCAACATGTGTAGCTATCAGGGTGGATTTGGAAGCTTTTAAGATCCAGGTGGTGGACAACGGCTCTGGGATGGGGAGAGAGGACTTAAATGCAATGGGAAAGCGGTACTTCACCAGCAAGTGCAGCTCGGTGGGAGACTTGGAGAACCTGACGTTCTACGGCTTTAGAGGGGAGGCTGTGGCAAGCATAGCCAACATGGCCAGTGTGGTGGAAGTTTCATCTAAGACCAGCAGGACAGCAAAAACATTTGTGAAACTATTTCACAATGGGCAAGCACTGGAAGTCTGTGAAGCTGAATTGAGCAGACCAAGTGGTGGAACTACAGTCACCGTGTGTAATCTGTTCCATCAATTACCGGTGAGGAGAAAGTGTATGGATCCTGTGCTGGAATTTGAGAGGGTGAGACAGAAAGTAGAGGCTATTTCACTGATGCATCCCTCTGTTTCACTTTCTTTAAGGAATGACATTTCATGTTCTATGGTGCTTCAGCTCCCTAAGACAAGAGATGTGTACTCTCGGTTTTGTCAAATTTATGGACTGGGCAGATCGCAAAAGTTACGAGAAATAAATCATAAGTCTGGGGGATTTGAGCTGAGCGGTTATATCAGTACTGAAGGACATTACAACAAGAATATGCAGTTCTTGTATGTGAATAGAAGGCTTGTTTTAAAGACAAGACTACATAAACTAATTGATTTTTTATTAAGAAAAGAAAGTGCCATTTGCAAGGCAAAAAGTGGTGCTGCGAGCAGACAGGCTGGTTCAAGTCCTGGTCGCCATCGTTGTGGCCCAGAGTTGTACGGGATCTTTATTCTCAATGTGGCCTGTGCGTACAGTGACTATGAAGTGTGTCTGGAACCTGCAAAAACTCTAGTTGAGTTCCAGAACTGGGATGTTCTTCTAACTTGCATAGAGGAAGGAGTGAAAATGTTTTTGAAACGGGAACATTTATTTATTGAACCGTGCAATGAGGACATCAGAGAATTTAATGAAGATAATGACTTTTTTTTGTATAACGCTCCGGTTCTGAAGCCTGCAATCTCTGATGAGAAGAGCGTACAAGACAGTTTTAAGAAAGTATGTGATGAAATTGCGGATTCCTATGTAGTGTGTAACCTGCAATCAAAAGATGTCAAAAGGAAATCCGTGACTGGGAAAAAATCTTCAGGTCTTACAGAGTCAAATAAAAACCTCCAGGAAATGGAAATCGCCCCAAAGCAGAAGATTGCTGAACCATCTGATCCATGTAGAAACAATAAAGCGGAGATTCCACTGCCCAGCAAAAATGACACAGCTCCTCATTTCATGATATCAAATATCTCAGAGCAGGAGCCAAAAGATGCTAACAGTTCCCAAAAAGTGTCTGATACTAATCTGAAACCTTCAGAAAATCTTCATTCCTCCTTCAGTGGAGGGGGCAGATCAGAAATAAGAAAAATAGAGGGTTGTGGTGACCTGCAGCATTGTGCAGAGAATTACATAAAAGATGTGGGAAGCCAACAAGGCAAAGTAGTGCAGAAAAGCAAGAGGATCCATATCTTAAATAATGATGTTACTCAATTGCTGTCTGAGAGAGAAGACCCTACTGAAGCAGCAATGGAACCTGAAACTGTCTCTGGAAGTTCGTTGATGAGACAGTGTAATGCAAGAAGAGGAGACAAGGAAACAGCTGAAGTGATAGATGATGCTGGAAGAGGGGCTGTTAGTTCAGTACCACTAAAATTGTACTCCACAGGCCTCCGAACACGTGTTACGCAAAGGGAGCCCCCACGTGAATGTGAACAAACAGAAGCAAATCTTGCATTAAACGTGCAGCGTGGACCTGGCCCCATCCATGCCAAGAATGTTTTTGGCCACAAAGTGAGTTTTTCAGTTCAGTCTTCAAATGCTAAGGATATTTCCAGTAATACAAGTAAAGACTATATGCCTCCTTACACCAGAGAAGGATGCGTGGCTGGTGGTAGTGAGTGGTTAGAGAACAAAACTTTGTCAAATCAGGAGAGTGAGGAGATAGCTATGCCCATTGCCACCAGTAAAAGACATTCTGAGACATCGAATGTTACAGAATTGCCGCTGGCAACTTCTTCAGGTATTCCTCACAATAAAGTTATAAAAAGCGCTAGAAGACAAATAGCTGTGCCAAGATCTCAGCCCTCTAAGAAGCTGAGCTTGTGCACGCAGCTGGGTTCGTTGGAAAAGTTCAGGAGATACTATGGGAAAGTCGAGTGTGTGCTACCAACACCATCGTCAGAGCGGAGCGAATTTGGTCTCCGGGGTTTTAATTCACGAGCTAATTGTGGCTTTTCAAAGAATGAGAATGACAATCGTGGTGACTTGAGCACTTGTGAAACTCCGACTGTGGAAGATACGGGTTCTAATAATATTAGCCAAGGTTTTGGCTCATTGGAAAAGACTTTATTCTGCAGTGGAGAAACTTCACAGGACAAGCGAGCTCTTTGTCGGAGTCCTTTCACGTTGTCTGATTACTCTCAGGTTAGTGAAAAAAATACAAGTTCTAAAAGGTCTCCAGGATCATTATCATCCAAACTGTCCAGAATGAAAAGTGACCGCAAAGAAGCAGAACAGCTTGGTGAACAATTCCAAACAGATTCAAGTAGAAAAGATGACTACTCTTTTGATCTTGAATCTTCAAATAATGTTTTTTTGTATAATGCATGTGAAACACATAAACCCTCAGTGGAAAAAAAGAGGGAATGTAATTGCAGCATTTCTAAGAGGGATGCATGCCAGCAATCAGACAGTATGAGAGCAGAGTCCCTGAAAAGTGCTGTCAGCCCATCATCACTCAGCAGCGTAGAAGGAGAATACACAGTCTGTTCAAGCAGTGTTTTGTCATTACCTGCTAAAAAGGATTGTACTAACAGCCTCTGTAAAGACAAAAGTTCGTTAGATGAGTCCTCGGAACAAAATTTGAAAGATACTGAGGTTCCCCCTATGATCTTCCCAAGTAACTGGGAATTCACTGCAGACAACACAGGCACAGGCGATCCCAGGAATGATTTGTATTGTTCTGACTGGTTGCAAGATTTTGATGTTTCGTCGGGTAAGACAATATACATCAATAGAACAACTGGACTGAGCACCTACGGCACTCCTCCTGCCGAAGGATTTCAAGCTGCCTGCATTCAAGATCTAACAACGATGGCTGTGAATGTTGTGTCAGAGAGTGGTAAGAGGGGTGGTGGTAGCTGCTGCGCAAGTGGGATGAGGAAAAAAGTTTGTGTTCTCTTAGGTGCACAAAATATCTTGCTGGCAGCATCTGATAGTTTATACTGAAATAGCCACTGCCTCACTTGTAGTAGCTGCATGGAAAGCGGGAAAGTGTTGGGAACTGTGGAGACAGGCAAACATTAACATTCAATATATTAAAAGATAATTTTTGATAAAACACTAAAAAGAAATGTCAGCAACTTGTCAGTTACCAGGCAGCTGCCCAGTTTTCACTGGGCATCATGACATTTGCTGTGATCAGTTATATATAGTTACTGTTGTGTATAAAGTAAGAAGCATCCTTCAAAGTAAGCGTGCCAGAAGAATATTGTGGGTTTTACCATTTTGTCCTAAAAGGTTGTGTTTCTAAGAATATGTTGTTACTGAGAACCCCATATTAAAATGATCTTTTCTCAACCTGCACACAAAATTTAAAACAACCCTTGGAAAATGAACAAAAGTCTCGCTCTTCGTTGAGAATGTGCAGTCTCCTTTCTGCAGATTTTGGAAGGCCATTCCTTCACACTTGGCTCTGTAGGAGGGGTTGTACAGTGTTGTTGGTGGTTTGATGGTGGAGCTTTTGCAGAGTTGACGGGACACTACATTGTATTGGTTTTTCAGGGCTGTGGTGTTCACGAGTCTTCGTTGATCTCTCTGTCAGGTTTGGCCTTCTGTGTCCTGATCTGGCTTGACAGAATAGTGTTGTTGATGATCTTCCCTTCCGTGGATATACTTGTGTTCAAAGTTGTTCAGCGTTCTGGCTATAGGCAGATTTTGTGAGTGAAGATGCAGACATTCCACTTGCAGACTGTATTTTTTTACTGTCTACTTTGTTTTGAAAAAAGTAGTTTGTACTTCTTTCTATAGTTCTCCTGTGAAATATTTGTCTAATCAATCATGAAAGCCTCTGGTTTGTTCCATTTTTGTCTGTTACTTTATTCTTTATCACCAGTCATAAAAAACACTGGTGCAGTAGGTGTTTCGGTTGTGAAGCTATTCAGTTCAATCTCTAATAATTGATGCCGATAGTTCTTAATATTTATTGTGTTCCATTGAAGTAAATTTGTTACAAGGAGAAGAACATCTCTGGCTTTATTGGGTAAAACTACTTCCGAGAGCCAATGTACACTCCTTGACCAACACTTAGTTTCTGTGGTTTACCAGTTTCCGTTGCCCACAGTGCTGTTCAGTAGCCAGCCAAAGCGCTGAGATGTGGAGCTTGACCTTCTATCCAGAGGGTTTGGATAGCGCATTCATGTTTCTGAAGAGAGTACCTCATGTACCCTTACGCTTTCAGATGATCACAGAACGGTAGGGATTGGAAGGGACCTCTGGAGATCATCTAGTCCAACCCCCCTGCCAGAGCAGGTTAGCCTAGAGCAGGTGGCACAGGATGGCATCCAGGCGGGTTTTGAGTATCTCCAGGGAAGGAGACTCCACCCCCCCCCTGGGCAGCCTGTTCCAGGGCTCTGCCACCCTCAATGTAAAGAAGTTTTTCCTCATGTCGAGGCAGAACTTCCTGCGCTCCAGTTTGTGCCTGTTGCCCCTTGTCTGGTCACTGGCCACCACTGAGAAGAACCTGGCCCCATCCTCTTGACGCCCGCTCCTTAGATATTTGTAAGCGCTGATAAGGTCCCCTCTCA